TTTGTCCACACACATTAACTAACCTCTCAGAGAACCTGTTTTTTTAATTTCCATTTCCTGTTGGCCTATAAACACAGGTGGATCATCAATGGTGGGTGAATGTGAGAGAGGCTCAAAGTGCTGGTAGGGGGAAAGCTTTAAATGCAACATCTAATCCTCATGAGATGACCCACCTATTGCCCATTTCTAAGTCTTTATTTCTAAGTCTTTATTGTTATGATTTTGTATATATAGTACAGCTACTCTACTTTACTCTACCCAATGATATGCATTCAATGTAACCGCCTATAATGTATTACCATGTGCTGTATGCTTAGGCTGAATGTTTGTAATTTCTTGGTTATTTCTTCCGATGTATGTGTGTGAATGTTGTTTGTATGTTGTACTTGTTTGTTATTTGTTTTCTTGGGACCCCCTTGAAAACGAGGTGATTCACCTCAAGGGGTTTATCCTAATAAAGAAATTTGAATATATAATCAGGCTGAGGGGAACAAACAACGACTGTCGACTCATCTATAGACTTGTTCTCTCCATCCTGTGTTCTCTCTGTGGTCATCCACCCACATTATACTTATGAGCACTGTATGGACGCAGAGATACTCAACGTTATGTTTTAAGTGGCCTTCTGTTAACGCATCTTTGAAATTGAATAAATGCACTAATGGCCAGTAAGATTGAGACTGCTCCTAGTAGGATTGGTTAAATGCAGAGGTCAAATTTCACTGTGTGTGCTGTGTGCATGTATGTGTGACAATTATATAGGGTTTGATCCCCCAATTTAGATTGTTTGCATGGTAAGGAAAGAAGAGCAGAGGATGTGCGATGTTTCGGGTACAAGTGGGAGGATGTTTCTTTTGAAAGTCATATGGAGAGAAAGCAGATGACGTATGAATTGGAAAATTACAATGAAGAAACTGAGATTTTATGTTCATACAAAATGTGAGAAATGTTAAATCAGTCTCGCAATATTTATATTTGACTTTTTTCGCCAGATGTAAATGATATAAATGTGTCTTAATTGCATAAGGGTCCTAAATGATATCATTGTGCCCTTTAAACAAACATGGGAAAACAACATTAGCACATACAGAGTTGACAGCAGAGACCGGTTTAAATGTGTTGGTTTATTTGGAACCCTTCTCCAAATCACTTCTGTAATTTTTCCATTTCACAAAATATTTACAAAAAAGATACTTTTATGTTGTTTTTTTCTTTCTTAATCTTGTCTGTTGTAACGGCTCCTTTTAAGGACGATGAGAATTGCTTACATTTCGTCCAGTCCAGTCTTATTCTTCTAGAAAAGGTTCATGAAAAAAAGTCCTCCCACCATTCTTTTTTACGTCCGAACACTCATTTTAAAACTGCATACATTTCCCCCCCCCCCCTCCATTGTTCTTCTTATGAGTGCTTTAAAAAACTCTTCCTTGCATGCTTTCAGCTGCAAACAGGAAGCCAAGAGCTCGTGTGCTTATTGAGAGGAAGTGACATCTTTGCCCTGCAGGAAGTACAATTACAGCATCATCAGATCCTCCAGATGCTTGATTGGTTTGGTCTGTCCAGTCTTGCCTTTTTTTCTCTAAAATCAAAGAGTCTCTCTAGACAAGCATGACGCCTACAGATGTACCAATTAACACAAAGTCATAGTAATTACTAAATGGAAACAGTCTTTGTCAGAAGAACATGTTCTGTCCTGTGGGAAGCCAGATAGCAGGAAGGGAGTGCTATAGGAATAAGTTCCCAAAACGTTTTGGGCCAGGGTCAACCGGCCATTCAGATGCAGCTCCCTGCATCTGTAGTCCAGGCATAACAAGGCATCCACAAGTGCATTGCGGGTGTTCCATGGAAGAGCGTTTTGTGTTCAAGCCGTACGATCCATCCCTGAACTCATCAAAGAAAGGAAGAGGTGCCATGACGATGGAAATATGAAGACATGAAGGGCATTTCCTCTTTAAGGACATATCCAACAAAGTGAGCTGGTCAGAAAAACAGATGATGCTAATAACATAAGGCATTTGACCTCAGTACAACTAGAGGGGTGATTATATTAGAGAAACATGAGGCGCTCAACACTGCATGGTTTTATCTCTTCCTTTAAGCGTCAGTGAGAAGCCATGAAGAAGCGTTTTCCTAATAAAAGTTCATTTTCTATCAATCCGTCTTCTGTTCTATAAATTAAAAAAAGATGCATGTGTCTCTCTCCTCTTAGGCCTCTCTTTGTTTCTCGTCTATGTGTAGAATGCTAAGTTGCGCCAGAGTGAGCGTGTTGGCTTTTACGTATAATACACTACACGAAACACTGACTGAAATCAAAGAAAAGAGGAAAATAAAAACACAAAAAGAGATCAACCCTGCCCCCGAATGTGTGTGTGTGTGTGTGTGTGTGTGTGTGTGTGTGTGTGTGTATATAAATCTTAATATTTAAGTGTGTGTATAGTATGACTTGTTTTTTTTCTTCTGGTTAATAAGACGGTAGGTGTGCTATTTGGTGCCTGTCTTTATATCCAAGTGTGTGTGTGTGTATGTCTACTCTGTTAACTTGTGACATAGTGCTTTGTAGTGGGCTGCCCATACAGCCCATAAAAATCTGCATGTCTGTGCGTCTGCGAGGCGTCTATCCAGTCCCTCACTGCCAGGCCCTGCATGGATGGGCCCCCGGAGGCCAGGCCGGGGGGAGGGGGGTAGTCCTGGGCGCTGACCCAGGGGAAGGAGCCAGAGCGGGGGTACGGGGGATGGCTGCGGTGGCCTGACACCGAGGGCACTCCGGAGCAGTAGCAGTTATCCATCGTGCACACCAGGATCTTACGGCCGCCATATTGAGGCAGCACGGCCTGCTGGGAGGAGTGGGAGGAGCTGCTGCCTCCGGGGGGGAAGTGGGAGGAGCTAAACACAGAGCCTGAATGATGGTTGGTCAGAGAGCCGCTTGCACTTCCTGTCCCACCGCCCTCGTTGATGTGAGGAGGTCCGCAGGGGCCGAGCAGCTGCTGATTGGTGGACTGACCCTCTCCGGAGGCAGAGCCGGAGCCCAGGTAGGGCTGCTTGGCTAACGATGAGGAAGAAGTGGAGGAAGAGGAGTCCTTGAAACCTGGAGCTGCACTTTTTCCGACGTTCCCGTTTCCCTCTGGGAAGGCGGTGGAATGTTTCCGTTTCTCCGCTCCAGAGCCCGAGCTCTGACCGCTGGGGTACGCAGGAACAGTCTGCAGGAAGGTGGAGGGAGGGGTGAGGGGAGCTGAGAGAAGAAGAGAAGGGGAGATGAGTGGTGATACAAAAAAAAGACTTTCATGGCTGCAATGAGCAGGATTTCAATGCGTTTGAGATCCTACCTTCCAGCGTTCTCTTCAGGCTCTTCTCTCTTTTTGCGATTTCAGAGAGAAAGAGTTTAGTGTTTACATTCCCCACTTTGTAAGGAGGGAGGCTGCTGCCCACACATGACTGAGACCTGCACAAATCAAGATAAGACGTCAGCTTGGAGAAAAACATCTGTGTAGTATAAACTGCTGAAGGGAGGTTGCTTTTTTTGTAGGCTAACACAGAAGTTAGCACCACCCTGGTTTCCTTGTCAAAAAGCAAATGGAAAAGAAAAGCCAACGTAAGCCTGCTACACCGCTTTCTACGTGTAACAATTAGGACAATTTAACAGAACAAAGTACAATCAGAACATAAAACAGTTAGTTTGAGTTCTAATAATAACATAAGGCTTTGAAGTGATGATGTAAAAAATAGCCAACAACTTCTGTAGCCCTTTTAAAAAACTTGTAGCAACCGCATTTTTTAGGAAACGTAAAAGCTAAAAAGAGAGGCAGTTTGGATGTGGGGTATTTCCTGGCTCATTTTAAGTCTTGGAATAAAACTTCAAAACCTTATTTTGGGCATCCAAACTAAAAACATTTTAGAAACCCATTGACTTGAGACAAGGGAACCATAAGTGCGTCATCATCATTTCTGCGTTTGAGTAATTCCTGCAGCAAACAGTAAAATCCAAGGTCTCCCTCACCTGTCTGTGAGGATTTTAACAGGCTTGGTGTTTTTCATGAAGCTCAGTTCCTCCGCCTTGCTGAAGGCCGTGTGGATGGAGCTCAGCAGCTTCTGGGCCTCGTGGCGCTGCTCGCCCAGAGCTAACACCTGGGCAGCGTTCTCCTGGCAGAACCGAGCCTGAGCCCGGTCCAGGGCCTCCAGTGTCCGACCGAGATCCTCCTCCAGGAGCTGGTGCATCCGCTGGTACTGCAGACGCACCTCCTCCTTCAGCTCACACACCCTGTCCTGTAGAGACAAACATCAGTCCTCCAGTCAAATATTTCTTCGCCATGGAAAAATTTGCGTTGCTGCGCCAAGATATAGGGTGTAAAAAGCATACCTCCACCACAATCTTGTCAGAGTCGAGTTTGCAGAGCTGCTCTTCGATCTCCTGCACCCGCTCCTCCACACGCTCCTGCTGTCTGAGCAGGCTTTGCTTTGAGGGGAGAAAGAAAAGAAGAAAGAAAGTCTTGAGCTTTTTGGAAGTTGTGAACTCAGCTAGCAAGGAGCATCCCCTCCCCATGCCTGAGATATTAGGATCCACAAGCCGGCTAATTTAGTCTCCAGTCAACACACAATCCCTGCGGGGGAGGAGGGAAAAGGAGTGCTGCTATAGCAACCAACAGCTATTTTTTGTTTGCATTAGTGAGTGAGGAGGACTAATGTTGGGGGAGCTGGGGGCAGCGAGCAGAGATAGCTAAACGGGCGTAAAGAGGCAACTCCTCTCAGAGCGCCTCCTCTGTACTCTTATGGCAATGTTGTGGCAACAACACTTGTTATTTCTAGGACGACGGTGGCATGGGAACAACAGCAGACGGTTGCCCAGGCAAAACTGAGATGCCCATCCGGCTCAGCTTGAGGCTAAAATACATTTAAAAAACCTAATGAATGTCTCCATATGAGATCAACAATCCTTTAGGTCGCTCCCTACATTGTGTTAGTCTGAGAGTAGGAATGTCATTGACACAGATTTGCTAATCCTTCATGTTATTAATATTTAATGTGAAATATGAATAATCCTCAATCAACATTTAATGATAGAGAAGCAGACTGATAAGATGGTACAGAGAGAAATAATGGCACCAGCAGGATCCAGAGTCAAAACAACCAGAGTCTACGCCTCTTTGGGAAAAAGCACTTCATGCTAATGTCTGCATGCTAACATGCTAAAGATGACAATACTCATGTGATTATGCTAAGCATGGATTCACCATCTCAGCATGTTAAACTAGGGTGGGTAAAGTATTTCTTTTTTTTGTCACATCTTTTGAAATACTGATCAATAAAATGAATAAGAAATCCTGTATCTGTGGCTGTGGTCATTGAAGCATCTGTGAGTACCAACAAAAGCCATGTTGGTCGTATCGTTCATTATGATAACTTTGGGGAAGTTGCTCTCCTAGGACTGAAGAGACGGGCTGTCCATTTCTCCAACTTTCTTGCTAGATTTAGCGACTCTTGCAGCTAGTGCCGTTAGCTACATTCATTGAGAGGAGTTGGCAACATTGGGCTTGTTTTTGATAATCTTTAGAACGTTTGCTTGATAATGTCTAATGTTACCTACCCACGCTTTAGCTCACTAGTGTTTGCTAATGAGCACCCAAATACAAAGAACAGCAATTATTTTCTCCATGAATAGATTAGTTTGATCTATTCTTCTTTAAAATGTTAACAAATAGTGAAAAAAAAAAGCCTTTTTCCAGGGTGACATCTAACCAGCAATCCAACACCTAAATACTAGAGATGTCCCGATCCGATCACGTGATCGGGGATCGGAGCCGATCACGTGATTTTCAAAAGATCGGAATCGGGAGAAGAAAAATCGGGGATCGGGATTTTTTTTTTTTTTTTTTAAATACTTTTTTAAAATTTTGTATTCAATGTTACAAAACAAAAATGACCATTTCAAGTCTTAAAGGTATCCTGAGGCCTTAGTTTTTGGTTTCAAATTAACACAACATCATGTGATGTGTTGCTCTCTTTGGGCTTGTTTTTCATAGACCTGGTTTGCTTTATTTCTCTCAAATCTGGCAACAGAGTGGGCAGGGTGCATGTCTAATTGAGCAGTAAGCTAACCAAGGATTTTCTACTCCACGATCAAGCTTTATTTTGTTTTGAATCCAAATGCTGCTGTGGAAAGAAAGAAACCTATATCATGTTGGATAGAATAATCCAAATTTAAATAAAGACAAAATACCACCTTAAGGACCAACTTGAATGCTTTTTTCCTCTTAATGCATTGCATAAAGATCGGGAAAAATCGGTAACAGGCAATTGTCCAAAATCAAATGTCGGAAGCAAAAAAGGTGATCGTGACAATCCCTAATAAATACATTTGATTTCTCATCATTACACGAAAATTCTCACTATTGGGAAGCTAAACCAAGAACATTTTGGATTTAAAAATTGCCTGAAATTATGAGTTGATATTAAAATATTGATGCTTATAACTATTTGATTGTTGCAGCTATAAAACTAAGATGTTTAGAGATTACAAATAATCCTCCCTAGATAAAGCAAAACCCAAGATAGCCAAATAATCCATGTTTACCCAATGTGTTTAAATAAAGTGTTGACTGCAAAAGAGCAAAAACAACGGTCTCAAATGTGTCATTTGAATAATGTGTGGATTGGTTGTTAATAAAGTATAAACACCATTTGGTAAATCTTGGAATATGTATGACGATGGTTGTGCATATTGAAAATAACAGGCCATTTTTCTCTCCAGGACGATGACATAAGAACATTTAAAAAGGATCACCAAAAGTCCAGTACAATTGATCTTTTGGAAGGTAAAGAATGTCTGTGCAAATTCGTCCTAGGTATTTCTGTTGATACCAAAATTTTTTTTTTTGTTTTTTTTTAATTTAAAAAAAAAGGGATTTTGAATCCGTCAATAATCCCACTAGACAATAATCAGTTGTTTTTTCAAAAGGCTGAAGGTCTGCTAACATGCCATCCTCCATCATCACTTCAACTTAAAAGCAGCTGATTCAAGATTCATGATCAGCTGCTGTTAGAGCTCGATAGGAATGAAAACCTTCGATAGTCCTTAGCCTCAGTGGCACATGGCGCGCGCGCCACACACACACACACACAACACACAACCACAACACACACCACACACACACACACAACCACACAACAACACACACACACACACACACACACACACCCACACACACAACACACACACCACAACAACACACACACCACACACAACAACACACACACAACACACAACATCACACACAACACACACACCACAACACACACAAACACACACAACACACCACACACACACACACACACACACACACACACCAACACCACACACACACACAACCACACACACACACACAACCACAACACACAACAACACACAAACACACAACACACAGCACTAGGGCTCTGAGCAGAAAGGCCAGGGGTAGCCAAACTAAATGTATGGGAAATACCTTTGAGGGAGGGAGGGAGGGGGACAGAGACGGGGGGGGGGGGTAAAGAGGGGGAGGGTGCCCTTTTTAGCCTGTCCAAAAAAATTTTCACCACAGTGTCTTTTCATCAGAAAGCCACCAGAGCAGGAGATCAGAGCCCAGAGGGGGGAAAGGTCAGGCCTCCTGGATTGGGGGGTTGGGGGGGGGGCGCAACGGATGTTAAGAGCAGAGGGGGTGTGGGGCTCGCTGTAGGGTGTGTGTTTGAGGAGAGGGGTCCACTCCACTCAGCATTCCATGATTGCATTCAACATGGAGGATGTTTCAGTACCATAAATATGGCAAGAATCAATGTGATCAAGATTTTTTCCCAAACGGAGTTCCCCAAGGAAATGATTGGGCCTTATTCCGCAACAGATATAAGAAACTATTTCTTCTTATATTTGCTCTTTTTTCTATGGATTTCTGGAATTCACCATGTTCGTACTAGTATGTCCAACAAGAAAATACAATTTGAAATAAAGGGACATAAAAAACAGATAATTATCATATAGTCTAATTCAGATTATAAAACATTATTATATTATTGGAGCATTCAATTTGATATAAAATACTATGCCTAAATTCCAATAGGAACACTTTGTAGATGATGTGCGTTTTGGTTTTCATCAGATACTGCTCTTTGATGCTTTTAGATTATTCTGTATCCCAAGTTCTGTACCTCTGAAAAATCACATTTACTTTGTCTATTAAACAGTACGAATGGAACAACAACTTGGAAACTCGGTTGGTACACAACTTGCCATGTTTCTGCTCCATAGTATAATGTGTTTTATTCACCTATTGCATATACTGATTGGCATAATAATTTGTAATATGGGATTAGTTACAGTTTTACCATTAGTTCCTGTCTAGTTCAATTATTTAGAAGAGATATTCATTAGTATTAACTGAAATCACTGCTATAACCAAGAATAAAATAATCTTAAGAGCTATTTAAGTGAGGTTTAAATGCTCAGGGTAATTAAATACAACTTATCCATTAGCATCCATGTTGTTTCCAAGCTACGACCTTAAGCTAATGAACACACCAAGGCTGAAAATAAATTCCAAACCCAGGGAATGGGACCATCCGTGGAGCCTGTGAATGAAGCAAACACCTTTTTCATAGCAGACATTTTGACTTGTGTATTTAATTAATACCATTCATTATGGCCGCATTCCATTTAGTGGAGGTCTTGGTATGGTGAGTGCTACCTCACTTGGAAACGTAATGGAACTGAGCCATCGTTATCAATTCCTCTTGTGATTTTCTTACCATGACTCGTCTAAATGTCTGCAGTTAATAAAAGGTTTATTCGGAGCATGTTAGCATAGAGCCCTGTTTAAATTGATTTCCCCATCCTGACTATATGTAGGAAAAACATGTCATTGTGAAGGAATTTGGTAATACAGCTTTTAAATTCAGACCAGGTCCCACCCGATGGCCCTTCCTGTGCCCCAAGCGACAGATTAACTATACAAGAAGCTGAGTCATAGCATTACCAACAGGAAATACACCCGAGCATGACACGGTTGACACCTAAACAGGGTGTTGGGTGCACAACATGAGTCAGTCAGCATTGAGGCCTTCATGGTTCTCAATCTGACTAAGCTGCCCCATCAAAAAAACAGAAAGGGGGAGGAAAACCAACCCGACCTCTGCCGGGACGGAAGACAGCGAGCACCAAACCCCCAGGAAGGGAAGAGGTTAATAAAGAAGCCCCAAGTAGACCGCAAATCAAGTGACGAATCACTTTAATCCCCTTCCCCTTGTCTCAAGCCCCCCCCACCCCTCCCTCACAACTGGCGATCCCTGAGCTAGGATGCACCTGTGCTGGGGAGATAAGGCTCTCTGAGGGCCCCTTATTGTTCCACCCTCCACTGCATTGTTTGTCATTCCAACAGATGAGAATGGAGGTTGGAGTGGATCACGACAGAAAAATGCACTCACGCGGGCGCTTAAAAACACTCAAAATGCAATTGTGTCCTAAAATGGGAAGTTCTGTTTTTGATTGAGTCAAGTGATTTGGGAAAAACGTGAACAATGGAGAACTCCGTACCCAGAAAACAGCACTTTGTGTTTTTTATTTGGCTAAAAATGACATAAAAATATGCTCTTTGACCTGGTGAATTAAGAATGATCTCACTGGTTTGTTTAAAGCAAAATTTAAGGATGTTAGCAGGCCCTTATTGATCACCGAAGAAATGATAGCTCTTGCTACAAACGGTTATCTTCTTGCGAACAGAGCGTAAAACTAGAGCTGCAACGATAAACTCACCTATCAATCTGCTGATAAACAGAAAAAGGAAAGGCTTATTATTCTGATGATTGATAAATTGTTAGTCATATTTCTTTAAAACATTGCTGGAAATACTGTTTTCAGTGTCTCAAATATGGATATTTTAATTGTTTCTCTGTTTTGTATCATATCAAATTAAATATCTTTGGGTTTAGGGCTTACACAACAAAACCCGTTTAGGAATTCACCTTGGACTTTGGGAAGCTGGGATGAACATTTCATTTTCAAAAAACAATTGGCAGATTATTTGATATTGTAAATTCATAAAATGTATTTTGTTTGACCAACAGAAGACATCCGGTATACTATCAGAATTGATAGATAGAAGATGGAACTAATGGTTTAGTTTCCATTTTAGCATACACTTCAATCAAAACAGAATCAACTGTTAGTCTTCATTTGATTTTGACTAATTAACTAAGGATCAATATTTTCACTTTTTCTTGCCAGCTGTCTGACATGTGATGATGTCAAACCACGATCTGAAGTTTTGTTTCGGTCAAAATGTCAGAGTGTGACATCATCATGGAGTGAACAAACAAGTATGTTAGGGCTGCACGATACATCTGTTCAGCATCGACATTGTGACGATACGCATTAGACCCAATGCATGGGTGTGCAGTGTCTAGTAAGGCAAATAAACACATACAATGTTTTTTCTGATGACCGAAACTAAAACTGGCCTGTTTTTTCCCCATGAATACTGTCTGATATGACATCATTTATTCCGATTCTCGTGGTCGTTGGATACACAGACTTTGTTGGTAGAAATTGGACAACAGAGTTCCAATGATCACCATCATTGTTGATCAACCTATGGAGCCTGCTAGCCGTCGTTAACAACCTGAAAATGAACGAGGAACAAGAGAAAAACAGAAAAGTTGGTTGCAAATGCAGTATGTCTACAGAAGGACGGTGTTGACCAAAAATTGGTTCAATTTCACCATTTGATAACAAATCCTTTATTGTTTCGTATATTGCGAAATATAGCGCCGAAGAAAAAAATATATATTTCGCCGGTTTCTTTCTCCAATACTTAGCAGGCCTAAGGTTTGTTTTTGTTTAAGGTATATGTGTGTATGATATAAATATGTATCTTACTCTGATGTCGTTGCGTCGCAGCTCCACGTCAGTGACGGCGTGGCCGTGGCTGGGGTGGCAGCGGGCGAAGCAGCAGTACTGGCACACGGCCGTCTGCTCGGCCTCGCAGTGGTACAGTCTGTACTCGTCGTGCTGCAGGCAGGTCCAGGCCTTCACCGCCTCTGCCTCCACCAGCAGGTGCCCGAGGGCTGAGCATGGCTGCTGCAGGTGAGTCTGGACGTGGGACTGGCAGCAGGGGGCGTTGCAGCGCAGGCACACCTTCACTGCGGGGAGTGGCGGGCCTCGACGACACAGGATGCACTGCAGCGCAGGCGTGGCGGCCTTCTCCACGCTCAGGGCGTTGTACTTCTCCACTATGTTGGACAGTTTGTGGTTCTTCTCCAGGCTGGGCTTCTGAGTGTAAGCATGATTGCACTCGGGGCAGCGGGCCAGCGTGGAGTCTTTGGCCCAGGCCTCGCTGATGCAGCCCCGGCAGAAGTTGTGCTTGCAGGGCAGCTGGATGGGATCTGAGAACACGTGCAGGCAGATGGGGCAGATGAGCTCCTCCTCAAAACAGTTCCTCCACGTCTCAGCCATGTCAGAGGACATCATGGTGTGGACAGGCATACACTATATGTTCCCACTTGTACAAAACCTCTAGGCCTTTCTGTCCTCGCAGAAAAACCTCTAAAAAAAACGACTTGAGAAAAAATTAGGATACAAAAATATGCCGTCCTGAAATCAGTCTGTATATTTCAACCCTTGTGACCAAATTAAACTCCCTGACAGGTGACGAGTATTGCTTATTGCTGCAGCATGAAGGCAAATTCCAGAATAATTGACCAGAGAAGGCTTCAGGCAAAGGATGACAACACCTTGGTGATTTCAACACACACAGCAGGGGCTGACGTTATACAGATTACAGTAAACGGTGCTTTCCTTTCCTCTAAATCACACACAAACATAGAGGCCTGCCTTTACAGCTTCTGAGTCTGTTCATAGGCCTACAGGAAGCTACAAAGCCTGTCAGCTACAGGTAAAAAAGCAAACAAGGCACAGAGCACTAAATATCTAATTATTAAACATCACAACTACTCATATGATCATGAGGTTAATCAATCTCTATGTAGCACATGAAAAGACACTTGATCCTTTTTTTCTGCTGCCTGCTCAGGCCCTTACCTTGAGCTCCCTTTACGTTAACGTCGGATTATGATTGACTGTGGACCAATTCAGACCAACAATCGAAGCATGAAAACCACGGAAAGGGAATATTACAGTCCAGTCCACACCCTGATTACTAACCACACAAAAAATGGCTTAAAAAAAAACCTGAATCTGTTTTTATCTAAACCTCAAGGACGCTTGAATCCGTCAATAATCACAACGCAGCGCAATGCTTTTGTCCGCTGAATCATAAATAAGTATCCAAAGGAGCCTCCACCTGCAAGTTAATTATACATACACCCAGCAACGGTTTGGCAGTAGAAAGAAATAGTGTTTCCCAAAGTCAGATGGACAACACAGCTACCTCCAGCCCTTCAATTTAACATAAAAGCGACATTTCTATCTGATGAACACCGCCTGCTATGTGGCACCGCTCGCATATCTGTACACAAGGCCTCGGCTTTTTCTACCAGGTTTCTGTCGACAACAAAGGCCTTATAATCTCATTAAACTGAAAATCATACCCGGGCCATCATTTCGAGCCTGTTTACTGCATAGTTAATCGTTTTAATAGTCGAGTCCAGCTCCTGCGCACAAAACAAAGGGTTTTAAGGATCCGCAGGAATGTTGGCTGCTGTTGCAGAAGCCTTTTGGTTCCCCCCTCCGACACATCTATCACAAATCTCCTCACACCGAGATCTATATTATTATTGTATCTGTTCACGTTGCTCTCACCTGATTCACCAATCTCAGCCTTTAGCCAACAACATAATTTTCCTACTTCCTTATCTGGATTAAATCGTGTAAATTGCTTCAGACGTCACCTCACCATAGCACAGGTACAGATAAACACTAGCAACAAAGATACAAGGTTGATATAAACTATGGTCATTCTTGTTTTTAAAGCAGCCCTATTTGATATATTTAACTAATAGAAAATACAAAAATATACCCTCCTAATTTTAAAGGGGCCGTCGCGTTTCTGTCCTTGTTAGGGGTAGCTGTCATCAGCCATCTTGCAAATCCTCATTTAAAAAAAAAAAAGAGGAGATATCCGCCGTGGAGAGGCTGTTTCACCAAAGCTGCTTTTCGCTAGCTGACCTACACAGGCACATTAGCGGGTCATTATTCAATAAAAACACGCCTTTTCGTCGTTAAGCTAGGTCCAAACGGAGCAAGCTTGCTGTGGGTATTTTTGCGTGGCCCGGTCTGGTCGGTGTGTCCGGTGTGTGTCGACTCCGTGGTTCCAGAAAATCTAACACGGTTGAGAATAATAATCGGTGTTTTCTCCCCCCTTTCTTTCTCTGTCTCTATCGGTCAGGCTTTAGAAAGAGGAGGAATGCAGGCGAGCTGGACTGGACTCAAACCAGCGTCAATAAATCAATAGAACAAGACACTTCCGGTGAGGATTTTCAAAGTAAAACGGCGCTTTAGCTCTAAACGTGTATAAAAAGGATACTTTATAAGTCTTTACCGGTCTTTACCACACAGGCTTAAAGAAAAATTAAGTTCATTGAGTCTGATTTTTTTTTAATGGAATTTGTAGATACTAACATTTATTATATATACAGTGTATGATACTAACACAGAAACAAAAATCCAGAATATATATGTTGAATGAAAAGGCGCTCGTCGTCTGGTGGCCGGGCTTGCCACGGAGCCCGGCCGGGCACAGCCCGAAAAGGCAACGTGGGCAACACCTCCGCTTCTCCGTCCCGCGGGCCCACCACCTACGGGAAACAGCGATGGGGTCGGGTGCGCTGCCAGAAGGGTGGCAGTGAAGGCAGAGGGTCTCGACGGAACAGACCCGGGCGACAGAAGCTGGCTTTGGGGACGTGGAACGTCACCTCTCTGGGGGGTAAGGAGTCGGAGCTTGTGCGGGAGGTGGAGCGTTACCAGTTGGATCTGGTTGGGCTCACCTCTACGCACAGCGTCGGCTCTGGAACCTCGGCTTGGAAACTTCTTCTGGATAGGGGTTGGACTCTATTCTTCTCCGGAGTTACTCAAGGTGTGAGGCGCCGGGCGGGTGTGGGGATACTCACAAGTCCCCGGTTGGGTGCTTCGTTGTTGGAGTTTACCCCAGTGGACGAGAGGGTCGCCTCCCTACGCCTGCGGGTTATGGGGGGGAAAACTCTGACTGTTGTGTGTGCTTATGCACCCAACAACAGTTCAGAGTATACGGCCTTCTTGGAGACCCTGGAAAGAGTCCTGTATGGGGCTCCTGAAGGGGACTCTTTAATCTTGCTGGGAGATTTCAACGCACATGTGGGCAATGATGGAGACACTTGGAGGGGAGTGATTGGGAGGAACGGCCCCCCTGATCTGAACCGGAGTGGTGGTTTGTTACTGGACTTCTGTGCTAGTCATGGATTGGCCATAACAAACACCATGTTCGAACATAAGGATGCTCATAAGTGTACGTGGTACCAGAGCACCCTAGGCAGAAGGTCCATGATCGATTCGTTATCATATCATCATCGGACCTGAGGCCGTATGTTTTGGACACTCGGGTAAAGAGAGGGGCGGAGTTGTCAACTGATCACCATCTGGTGATGAGTTGGGTCGAGTGGCGGAGGAAGCCTCTGGATAGACCTGGTAAGCCCAAACGTGTAGTTCGAGGAGGCCCAAGTTCAGGAGGCCTTCAACTCACACCTCCGGCGGAGCTTTTCGGGCATTCCTGTGGAGGTTGGGGACATTGAACCAGAGTGGTCGGTGTTCAAAGCCTCTATTGCCGAAGCCGCGGCGGGGAGCTGTGGTCTCAAGTTCCTAGGTGCCTCTAGGGGCGTTAACCCTCGAACCTCCTGGTGGACACCGGTGGTCAGGGAAGCCGTCCGACTGAAGAAGGAGGCCTTCAGGGATTTGTTATCCCGGGGGACCCNCCTCTCTCAACACCCATATGAAACAGACCTGTAAACAGATTTTCTTTTTCAGTAAAAAAAGAATAAAGTTTAAAAGGGTGATTTGTAAAATATCCATAAAGAAAAAGAAAATCTGTTTACAGGTCTGTTTCATATGGGTGTTGAGAGAGGTATCCATAGATCTCTTCATTTTGATCTCAAACACCAGATTGATGCTTTTAACTTTTTTTTTTAAATCTCCCTGGAGAGCATGCCCCCAGACCCCCCTATGTGTGGTCCACACACCACCTATACAAATAGCACTTTACCCCTGCTTACACCTATATGCCGTGAGCTGATTATCGAGCCTTCATTGTAACAGTCGCCGGTACACTGTGTATTTGCGTGGGGATTGTTGCAGTAGAAAATTCCACTGTAGCGCCCTGTACATTAATGGGAAACCCTAAATGTTTGAGCACCCTCTATGAAACGTCAAGCTACCCCACAGCACCCCCAAAAGAAATCTCTGGCGCCGCCACTGAGCCTGCAACCCCGTTTTGAAGAAACGTGCAGTGCAAAACAGGCTCATTGCAGCCACTAATGCTGTGATAAGACACACTTTTTTGCCAAATATCAGCATTTTCTTTGCAAAGTGGCAATAACTTATTGTTCTAGAAAAGGGATTGCACAATTGTATTTATTTTTTGGAGCACACAGACTTATGGAGCATTGTTTTATTATCACTGTTCTAGCAAAGTGCTTTTTTTGAAAGGAATGCTCACGTTCATATTGATGTATTTGAATAGCCTAAATGTTAACTTTTTCTCCAAAGGGGGGGGCCTGACAGAAAAAGTTTGAGAAGCACTGAGTTAAACACACACTACTGCTGCACTTTGTACTGTTTTTACTGAATTAGTAAGTGTAGGTAGTAGGTACTAAAGAAAATAAGAGACACAAAGCTATTGAAATTCAGTGCCCGGCTAGCTGTTATCAGTATTTGTGCTAAGCTAGGCTAACAGTCTGTATTAGCCTTGCTAGGACACACATGTTTTGTTAGTTACGGTTTCCAAAGATATCAATTTCCTTTAAATCTTTAACTTGGAACTAACATGGATGCAAAGACATGATGTGCTTATGAAATAGAAATATACTCTTTTGTTCTAATTCAATCATTTGATTTAACTGATGCTCTTTAAACAGTTGCTAAATGGACTTATTATGCTGTTTCCAAGGTCAAAAATGAACTTCCAAGAGTTGAAAATTAATTCAAAAATGTCATTTTCAGTTTCTGAACGCTTTGAGTGGTTAATGTACAAAACAAAGCTTCTTCTTGCACCACCATAGTCGTCCTCCCACCTCCTTTTCCGTCTCAATGAGCTGCCCTTCTTTCTATTTTTTTATTCTCACGTCAGCAAACCTCAGCAGAGACACAGGCAGCCAAGAACTGTGGGGTCGGAGGTGCAGCATAAATGACAGAGCTGCTTTTCTTTCTTTTAAACACACATTCACTATCAAACACTCCCCCTCTCAGTCTCTCGACACACACATTTTCTCACAATTGCACACACAGCTGCTGCACAGCTGTCTGATCCATGAGGAGAAAGCCAGTAATCCAGTCACCCACGTCTTCGATATGTATCTTTGACCCAAACACACACAAACACACTGTCTGGCTCCTTCAAATTACCCACAAACACATACTGTGAGAAGGTTTATGCACTGGTAAAACAACCACAGGAGTTTTCCTTCTCTCATATAGAGGTTTTAAACATAAAAAAAACGATTAAAAAGTCAAAGTGACTCTTTGTTTTTAGTAAACACAACCTTCAAAGCTTCAATCTATTATAAAAAAGTGTTTGACATTTTGAGAAATGAGCTTGTTTATAGAGGTGGGACCAAGCCATAGTTTTGCAAGTCACAAGGAAGTCTTATATCTTTGCCTTCAAGTTCCAGTCAAAACTTGTGAATCCTAAACAACTCATCTCCCCATCTGTACGTTTTTACCCACTATGTTTACAGCTTTGTTGTTGTTGTTGTTGTTGTTGTTGTTGGGCGATCAATTTAAACCAATGCTAGCTCTCTCTTGAAAAAACAAAGTTGATCTTGTGATTTCATTGAGGACATGCTGGGAATAAGTAGTGTGAACGTCAATTGAGCTAATATGAGATAACCCTTTTTAATCAGTGTATTCACAGTAGAAATACAAGCACAATCATAAGACATCCACCAAAACAGTTTTCCAGAATGTCAAACCATTCATTTAAATGCCTTTCGGTATCTTAATGTATCTTCCAGCGTTCATACTTTCCCACAATGCTTTGTGTGAATTCAATGTAACATAAAGAGGCAGAAATTATGAACAATCCCGTCAGCTACATTCTGTCTTTGTGAGAGGAAGACTGGACAATGAGGACCTTTGTGAAGACGAAAAAGAAGAGACTGTTTGCAGGTCTCTGGGTCTCTGAGACAATGTTGCACCAAATAAACCTTCTTATATCTGCTCTCTCGACGAATTGAAAATACTTATTGCCTGAGATCTCATGATGTGGTTTTATTAAATGTGCCAAGTACTAGGAATGTCTTAGGGAAGAAAGCTTTTAGTTGTGCAGCTCCACTAACTTGGAACAGTCTGCAAAAATGTTTAAAACTGAGCATCATTTTAAAACTTGGCTGGGTGACATGCTGTTTGATACTCATGGTACCTGTCACTGTAAATAGAGTTTTGTTAACTGTACCCTGTAATTTATGTTGTATGTCGTCCTTATTGTTGTTCTGTTGTTTTTATGTTACGTGTGTAACCAATGTGCTGCAGGTCACCTTGAAAAATAGATCTTTTGATCTAAAGGGGCTTTCACCTGGTTAAATAAAGGCTACAAACAAATCAAGCTTCTGGTGCTCAGCCCCAGGCCATGAGGCACTTACACATCCAGGTGAAAACAGCACCACCCGCCTGACACTCCTGTCTGTTAGAACAAACCACATTTTACATTATATTTAGTATACTGCAGCATGTTTCCATTTACCGAAGGGTGTAGGAACAATCCCTGACTCACACAAGGAACACGCTATCTTTTAATACTGTGAGTGGTAGAATGTAAGAAAGTGAATTTACTTCAGAATCAGAATACCTTTATTAGTCCCACAGAGGGGAAATTGACATAGCTACAGCAGAAAAGAGCCACAGACAGCTTAATGTTACCCAAGCATGCATACAAAAGTAATAAAGGTAAAAAAAAGAAATTATAATAAAAAAGTTACACATTTTACAAAAATACACACCCTGTAACAGTTCTGAGGATTTAGCGGCCAGAAATATATTGCAGTTTTTAACGGCATATATATATATATTTGACATAGTTGGTATTTAACAACAAGAGGTATTTTAGTCTGTGTTGTTGTGTGTGGGGGGGTATACTAGGGGCCGTGGTGGTTATATAGTCTAACCGCTGCAGGAAGGACCTGCGGTATCTTAAGTAGCCACACTTTACATTTCCATTTTCTACTATACTTCTACACCATGTACTTTTTTATTGCACTGTATTTATTTCCCCGTTATCAGGTGGTTTTATCTGGAGAAAAAAAAGGTAAACTGCACAGTATATTGAGTTAGAAAGTAATGACCTCAAGAACAGTTACATTTTCGGTGAGAGGTCGACTTATAGAGAAAAAGGAATGAACTAAAGTAGAATTGGGGTGGCAAATTGTTGTTTTTACCCCCCATGAAATCATGTTACTTCTTAGAATAATATGTATACGCAACTATAGGTGAATATACATGTAATTTATATTATAATGTATTGTAATTATATTATGTGTTAAAAATGGCTTTAAATTAGCTTTTTACCTTTTGTGAGGCAGAAGTATGGTTTATTATGTTTATCAGCTCTTGACCTATTCTGAAAGCTTTATTAGATTCTGTAATAATCCTGGTTGGGGTTTTCCCCCCAAGCTATATATGTCTTTAAGTTGTTCATGTGGGAAAATGTTACCCATCCTTTCAATTTTCCCTGCTTTGACAATGTCTTTGGCCTTTTATTTTTAATATAACGTTTAACGATGAATTCTGTCTTTCCTTTCAGGTAATACTTGATCAATATATACACAATTAATATTGATCATCATTTAGAATACAATGCTATATCGTTGACATGATTTAAATAATGGATTCAATGCTCTCTGTAATCCAATGCCCTGAATACCGTGTGTGCTCGCCTGCTGTCTCCCACAGAGGCTCCATGCTGTCATGAACAGCTGACTCCACCTGCTGCTGCTGTGTGACCTCTCCAGCCTCTGAGTCACTAAAGTATGTCGGTGCGACAAGTCATTCAATAAATGAAAACTCAACGACTCAATATTTCTTATCCTTTTTATTCACATACAGTACCTTCAATTCTGGACAGGTTACATTCAAGAATATCAAAAGGAAATGCCAAAAAGAGTGAATTCCCTCACAAACCCTATAAGCACAAAGAAATGAATTGGGACGTAGTACTTATAGTACCTCTGTTAAAAATCTGCACATATTAGATATGCAAATATTATAGACTACAACATATACTCTATAACATGTGTATAACGTAACATGTGACCACAGGGCCAAGATATTTACACTTGATCTAAAAGAGTTGTTCCTCTAAACTCAACTTTTATTATATTTTTTACATATTAACATGTAGAATATAATTCTTTATAGGGGAGAGCTGGAATCGTTTCTCCGACATTCTTTAAAACCACACACAGAGTTGTTGTTTGCAAGCACTCTACTTCACCATAAATAAAACAATTACAAAAATATACCTCACTTCAAACAGACCCATAGCAGGAAAAAAACGTACAGCCATCTTGGAATGATAAAAAAGAAAAAAAGATTTCAACATGTAAGAACAAGATGGAGATGGAGAGAGGAGGAGGAGGAGGAGGAGGAGGAGGAGACTGGTTTCCAGGACAGTGTGTGAAAGAGTTTAAAGGACAGGCTGGAATTCCAATGAAAGACGGCAGTTTAATGGGAATGTTTGAGGTTGGGACAGGCGGCGGATGGTGACGCAGGTAGTCTGGGTGGAGGAGGTCAATTTCCTGGCATGTGTTCCCTTTAAAGTCAAAATGCCCCCCTCTCTGTAGCGTAGGAAGATGTTCTGAGATAAGTAAACATCAGCAATTTGGGAATGCAGGGGGATTTAAATCTCCAGGTCCATGTTGGATTAATAGTGTGTTTACATTCACAGGTATATCCATCGTACTAAGGCTCAGGAGGGTGCAGTGTGTGTCAGTGTATGTGTAGCTGCTGTAGACTAGAAGCAAAGCTATTTTTTCTTGGAGTTGACGCTCTTGCACACCCAATTCATGCCCTCCTGAAAGTGAATTTAAGAAACAATTTTTAAAAAAAAGGCACATAAAAAAAATAATGCAAACAAGTAACACTTAGCTCTAGAGCTGTTTCGTTTTTACTTCATACTTCCACGGTGGATCCCACAAGTTTACAAAATCAGTAATACTAACAAATCATAAATAAATAAAAAAGAGAGAAGAGGAATAAGAAAATAAGCTTTCTATTGATGATTAGGGAATGACACTTTAAATGTCTGACTGTCATCTCTTTTTACGACATAATCACCATAAAAAGATTTTAAAACGTCTTTGTACAAAATCCCCGATTTCAATAAAATAATTAATAGGATTAAATGAATACAACTTTTTTTATGACTGTAGCTTGTCAGTGTGTGCTTCCTTGACCTTTGAATTTACAACGCTCTGGAGGTCATCTTGAATCTAATTCCGCAAATGTTGTAATAGTATTGGTGAAGCCTTATCTCTATCTGAAACTGTGCAGAAACAGTAGCTTTAAACACAAAGAACAGATAATAAAACTATCAACCTTTTTTTTGTTTTAAAGCTTTAAATATTCGGCACAGGAATATGCAGCTTGTCTCCTCACCTGAATGCCCTCCCCAGTGAGGGCCGAGCAGGACTGGATCTGCCACATGCGATCCCGGATGGTGTGCAGATTCAGTCCCTCAGCGATCTCCGAGGCCGGGGCGGCTGTCAGCAGGTCCTGCTTGTTTGCAAAGATCAGCACTGGAACGCCACTCAACTTCTCTTCATCCAACAACTCAGCCAGCTCCTGCAACACACAAAAACATCTGTCAGGTACACATAAACACAAACACATATTATGTCCCAGAAAAAAGGGAATCCAGGGGTTCAGGATAATTAAACAATGAGTTGCCGTTTTGAGACTTTGGTAACAAATATGCAATCTTCCAGAACACACACCTGACCTGTCTCCTCAAATCTCTTTCTGTCAGCGCTGTCAATTACATAAATCTGAAACAAAATGGAAGTGTTCCTTGTTAGCACATACAGCAGGTCCTCAGTGCGATAAACTGTGACACGGACGAACGGATCAAAATCACGATGTAAACAAAGCTAATTTAATGTGTTTGGCGCATCATGCTTCACTCACCAGCACATCGGTATTTTCAAAGTAGTTTCTCCAATACGGCCTGATCTTCCTCTGGCCCCCAATGTCCCAAACATTCAGTTTAAAACCCTGAGACTGGACGCTTTTAATGTTAAACCCCTGGAGACAAGACGAAACATAAAGCTTAAGGTTAGACAGATATAAAACATAATCCATCCATGTTGTTTTAGGTCTGTTTGCTCCAATAACACGTGGTGCATGCATCCCTCCGAATCTATGTCTTTTATGTCTAAACCTGTGTGGGGGTGATGTGGCTGATGTCCTCAGATGCCAGCTGTTTGAGCAGGGTGGTCTTCCCGCCGTTGTCCAGACCCAGAAGAAGTATCCTCACCTCCTGGTCTGGTGTGCTCTTTAGCTTACGCAGGATAGACAGCAATCCCTGCGATTTAGAAAATGGATCATACAATTTGAACAGAAATGTTTACCCATAGGGACAAACAAATATATGGAAAATTAAAAGAAATAGGGTCTATTCTAATAACACTTTTCTTTTGACTCTTTTCTGAAAACATTAACACTTATGGCACTTTTTTACATGCATGTTTTAAAAACATTTGTAAATGCAGTGTTCTGTAGAATTCAGTTTTGTCATCTTCAAATATTAATCAATGTGTAATATCATTTTTGGTGAAATATGCAAAATATCATGTTTTTGATTCTAACAAACCAAACATGTCACAACAGAAAATATTGCTATAAAAACTCATATCTATTGCGATCAATGTTGAACTTTTGTCTAATGCGTTCTTCTCTTGAATGTGTATATTGTAAAATGAAGTGACACTGTTTTCCTTCTGGAGGTATTTTTAAGTTAATGCGTAGTTTTAATTTTTTAAACCTCGAAGATCCGCATCTCTTCCCTCCATCCGCCGGATTCCCCATTTACAGGCCGTGCAAGTGCATTTATATCCCCACTGTGGCTTTAGAAGATGAGTAAACATCTAACGGTACCCACACATAACGACAACTACTGGTCCTTGGTGAGAGTAGCTATACACATCGACTTGATCGTTTTTTTGGGCTTTGCGTGCTTGTTGTTATAGTGAAAGGCTGGTTAACGGCACGCAAACATGAGCTAAGCGTAGCTAACGTGCTAAGCTAATCTCCCCTGATGACTGAACGAAGCAACAAGGCAGCTTTGCAGTTCAATGTTTTTCTCGGCAGATTGCTGACAGCAGCAGCACTTACATCTCCAATGTATTACATTAAGTGGTACTAAATTGAAATATGTTAAATAGTTTTGCTTGATGTATAGAGTTAATAGCTAATTACAACGATAAATTGAACTCACCATCTTGTTGCCTTCTCTCTTGGAGACGCCGCCGAGGGTTACTAGGGGGAATGACGTCAGACGCAAAGTCACGCAGAACTCGGTCACAACCCCCAAACATGGATGCGGAGTTTTGGTTAGCTGCCTGCTAACAGCTGAATGTTTCAAATGTACAGGCAGTAATAATAAATGCACATGTTTAATTATGTGGACGGCCTTTTCAACAGACGTTCAAATAAGTTGCTGTGTAAAATGTGTCTTATTTCGATCTGAGACGATTAAGTAACTATACTGCCAAAGAGCTAATAAGCTACCTAGCTAATTAGCATAACAGTTTGGTTGGCCGTAAACTCGGGAGCTGCCCCAGCCCGTGATTGGACGAAGGCATGCCACGTGTCTTTACTATGCCACAGGAGCACATTTGATTACCTGACAGGTTGCTCTGTAGGGCTGTAGAGGGTGAGGAGAAATCTCCCAAAGGTAGGTTTTCCATGTTCTTGTCTCGCAAGAATACAGCCTGTGTGTCGATGCACGTGTCTTGTTAGTTTATCTTTATCTGCCTAGCTGCAGAAGTCAGCTGGTATCTCGAGTTACGAGTTGCATCACTTTGAGCTTGGACTGACATGTTTTTACTCTTTCGTTTTAACTGCTTTGATAGTGTAGACACACTACTACACTAAACACTCTGTATACGTCGAGCTTATGTCTTATTTGAGTGGAACTCAGTGATTAATTACACATACGTTATGCACACACAAGCCTGAAACAGCTGTCATCGATGTGTAAATTGTGTTAGTTATCCAGATGCGTTCAGGTGCTCCTTGCTATGCTACGGCCTGTAGATCAAGTTTCTCAAGATTCAGGTCAACTTAACGTCATGACATGCCGCATGCACCGAGCCCTGTTTATTTCTTAACCATACCTTCCCCTACATGCAGTTCTGCAACTTTACCTAATTCTCATGATCGATTCATCTTCCTGTGTTTTTCCTGTGTTTTGCTAAATGAGTAGTTTGCTTCAGAACATGTCACAAATGAATACAAAACTGCGCAATGCAACTTCCAAAAGACATATACCTTAGGCTGGTTTTCGGCTCTGGGACATTTCACATTTAATGAACGGATAAAAATAACATGTAGTTGTAGGCCTCATATGTTCTTTATGTTCCTGGTGGTATGTATGGACACGTTGACATGTGTCTCATGTTCATTGTTGCCTGCAAGGTTCTGCATGCCTTTATCCTACATACAACAAACGGCTGCCGAAACAATCCAGTTTGAGCCAGACTGAGCCTCCAAAGAACACTGATAAACCACACAAGGCTGGTTTCCATTGTGAGATTTCACTGAATACCTATGTTTAATAATTGCGTATCTAATGGTGAAGATGCACAGTGGGATCGTTCGAGCTGAAGTCAGCAGGTTCTGGTTCCTCTGGTTGTGTATTAAAAGTGTAATGCTGCCACTGCAAAAACCAAATACGAGAACCTGTGGAAACATTTACCAGGAGGTGGTCAATCATTTCTAGTGGAAGTTTGGCCCTGGAGATTTTTTTAGGGAGAAACAAGAGTTGGTGTTTGTTTGGGGTTGAGTTTAAACCCAAGGGCACCTGCTGGCAATCCAACATCTTAAGAGGGTAGAGCAAGAAAAATACACTTCAGTATGATACATACAGTATCTCAAACACCATTTTCACAAGGTTGATGAGGTTTAAGGCCAACATGGGTACCTTAGGCCTGCATGTAATACATATCCTTACAGTTCGATCAATTGTTCTGTTTCTCAACGAATAGTGAAGTCTACAAATGTAAAAAAAGAAGAAGAAAACAGTGGGTTTTGAGTCCCCTTTTCTTTAAAAGTGATTTCGTTTTTTGATTCTTCATTGACTATCATAAGATGAAGAAAAGCTGCAAGTCCCCTCATTTGAAAGACTGTAACCAGCAAATGTTTGGCTTCTTTTGATCAACTTATTGATTATTGACCTGCAGTCTTGGTAAACCTTGTTGGAATGTGAGTTTAAAGGTAAACTAGCCTGTCCTCACTGACCCACTGAGCAAAGAATCAGCTCAAACCAGGTCTGTCTGGTTTGAAAACAAACATGAACCCGTTTTAAACGGACAAGAGAAATGCATGTAATTTCAGTCATTACCTATGTATCAATGTATGTTCTACTATAGTTACGCGCCAGTACTATAGATCAGCATATTTTATTTATCATGACTGTCCTCTTTTCTGCAGGTTTCGACAGCTGAGTAACGTCCTGCAGAGTAAACAAGGGCCTTTCAAAGATTTGAACTTTTTCATGCAGTAAGTCAGGCCTGCTTTTTAACCCCCACAATGGCTTCGAGCTCATTCGACATTGACGCACCGCGATGGGACCAGTCCACGTTTATGGGTCGATTGAATCACTTCTTCAACATCACAGACTGGAGAACTGTGACCTTACCTGATTCACGCCTGGATGAGGCCAAAGCTTTAGTGGATAGCTGCAGGTAAGAAGATAAACACTCAGACCGAATGTTATCTGGGAGATAAGATAAAACCTTATTGTTCCAAAGGAAATGTTTGTGCACCAGATGGCAAAAGAAAAACAACAACATTACAATAAATACATAGAGTAATACATATAAAGTGTTTAGGGAGTAGTACTTACACCACTACCTATTAGAATAACAATAAAGTCAGATACATTTGGTAAAAGTAAAACAATTATAATATTGGGATAGATATTTTAAAAGTACTATTGCACATATCTTTTAAAAGTCATGTCACACAGAGAGTAATTGTTCATAGTATGATGACCAACAGCCACTTATTGCATTGTAATTCAGCAGTTTGATCAAATAAACAACCTAAATTATCATTTGTGTCTGGCTTTGCAATCATTTGAAACATTAAAATCTGTGTCTTAATGTATGCATATCCGATTTACAGTATCCAAAGCTACTTGGGTAAACTATGTAGGCCTTTAGTTCCAAAACATCTTTAACTCCTATACAGATTTTTATATTAAATGAAATCATTTTAAACCAGGTGTAACATAACACACAATAAGTCAACACCAACTTTTAGATGGATTTTCCCTTTTGATATATTTCCTCATTCCCTGCATGTTAACTGTCATCTGAGAGTTTCAACATGAAAAATGATATTCTCTGCATGCAGTTCATGGTATGAAAAGGTGTTGTTTGGTTGATTATGTGTGTATGTGCTGCTCTGTAGGGCGGGATCTGTCCCCCCTGGCACCACAGAGGAGCAGCTCCACTACGCCAAGAAGCTGTACGACTCGGCCTTCCACCCCGACACCGGAGACCGCATGAACCTCATCGGCCGCATGTCCTTCCAGGTCCCTGGAGGCATGGCCATCACCGGCCTCATGCTGCAGTTCTACAGGTAACAGGGCGAGCTGCATTTCACTGCATTGCAATATTTTCACAGAGGGAAGATTTTAAGGTTTCATAACCGTCTGTTTTCTAGGACAGTTCCTGCTGTGGTGTTTTGGCAGTGGGTGAATCAGTCCTTCAACGCTCTGGTCAACTACACCAACCGTAACGCTGCCTCCCCCATCACTCCCAAGTAAGAATGAATCGTAAACTTTTATACGTTTTAAACCATAACCCTGCTGTCCTGTGTTTTCTCAATTTGTAAGGCAATGTAACATGTAAGTCTCAAGTCTGAATAATTTCCTAAGATACTTTTATTTTAAATCCACATCACTAATCTTACTTTGTTGGAATAAGTTTAATGTCCTGTCTGAATTTGATACTGTCACATTCACGTAGAGGCAACAGCAGCACAATGAGACAGTAAATGCATCTATTGTTGACCAAGAAAATAATTAAGGGATGAGCAGCGAGCAGGTCATCGTCTCCCTTTTTTACACAGCATCTTACTACGTAAATAAAACAATCATTCAATACAAAATCTTAATTTAAAATGATTATCGTTCAGCACTAAAAAGTCATCTGGCTGTATTTGTAAAGCTTAGGAATAACACACCATGGAATGTCAATGTAGTTTTGTTACCATTTAAAAACAAACAAAAAAAAAGGTTCATGGTAAATTATTACCATAAAACTACATTGACATCACTTTTAAAAGACAGATGAAGCCAGCAATGTCATTTTCCGTGTGTTTAAAATACTTTTATCGTCTCTCTCAGGCAGATTGGAGTAGCCTACTTCACAGCAACCAGTACCGCGTTAGCAACAGCAGTCGGACTCAATCTCTACACAAAGGTACAATCACACAAAGAACGTTTATTCTTACAACACTATGTTCCTGATCAAGGTTAACTTTATGTTTATCACGAAATTCTTCAAAAGGAGAAATGCACTTTGCAAACAATGCATTACAGAATTTACTCAGAATATTGACGCTTTATGTACATTTGTAATGTCTTTGTTGGGAAATGCACTGCAACAATGTGCTAATAATATTTGGGGTGTCCTTCATTGGCAAAATAAAGGTGTTCCCACTAAGGGAACCCTCTTCATGTGCATTAATGGGGACACATTTTGCTTTGTGATTTCCAAAATTGTTGAGTCATCGCCGTGGCACAGCTGAATTCCCCCCCCCCAAATAAATGAATTGAATGTTGAATGGACATTGGCTTCTGCAGAGACAGAATTGTTCTCTACATCTGCACACAAAATAGTAGTAATAATAATAATAATAATAATAATAATCTGAGACACCTGATAAGTAACGCATGGGCCCAGACCACAGCCAAAGAATTGCAACAAAACACGCAAGCATGAGATGAGTTTGAAAACTCTGGGAAAAGCTTGCTTTTTTTTCTGTTAATACATATCTGAAAACTCTGTTTTTTCTCTCTCTCTTATTTTCTCATCCCTGTTGTGTGACTGTTTTCCTTATTGTCCCCCCCCCCCACAGCCCCTCTTCCTATTGTCAAGCGTCCTTGGGTTTCTTGAAAGGCGCTCTATAAATCTCCAAGCTATTATTAATAATTGATAGTCTTTACTTTCTGTTCCCTTCCTCTCCGACTGTGTTTCAGTGCTATGTGAGGTAAAGTAAAAAGCTGAATGAACTTAAAACACCTTTTCCTCTTCACTTTGCAGAAAGCCCCTCCCCTCGTGGCTCGCTGGGTTCCTTTTGTCGCGGTGGCTTCAGCCAACTGTGTTAACGTTCCTATGATGAGGCAACAGTAAGTCCTGCTGTGTTACTGCCTCAACTCCTTAAAAATACATGCAGAGGTATTGTTGTACTGTTCTGGGCACATTTTATTGGTGTACTTTTCTTGGATCAGAAACTGTGAGAAGCTTTGTCACATTCTCTGTGCTAGAACCTTAAAGATGTTCTTGTTCCATGCAGAGTAGGTTTTTGTTTTCCAATGTATTAAGACCCTAATCATGTTTGTGGAGGCCAAATTATAATAATAATAATAATAATGTAGAAATAGTAAAACAAGGTTAGATGTCGATATAGATTTGTTTTGGTTGTCGGCTTCTCCATTACTAGACTACAACTTGCATTTTGTTTTGCGACCCTGTGTAGAATAACAATACATTAACCTTGAATAGATCACCTTGAAATGTCACAGAGGTTTACCGTTTCCCGCTGACTGAAAGCGTCTTTATGAAATGTTGTTGTGTGTACTTTCTGCAGCACTCTTCCAATAATCGGCCTTGTGAAGATTTTGCTAATGCTCCTTTTACTTTAATGTTGTATTTCCTGTTTAAAATGAGTCTTTTAGCTTGGTTTTAAACACTTAAGGTTCACCCTGAAGTGAAGACAAAATATTGGCCACTTAGCAGATTGTCTACAACTAGCGTAGATGACTGATTGAGTTTTACGTCATCTCTATTTTGTCTCTGCTTTGCTTTCAGGGAAATTCTGAATGGCATTGCTGTCACAGATGAAAATGGCAACAAACTGGGTCACTCTAAGGTCAGCACTCTGGACGCACTTTAAGACACTTAATGAAGGATAACGGAAAGATTTTTTGATCTTTATTTTCTATAAATAAACTCCTTGTGAAGTGCCTTTTGAATCTTGTTTCATGTCCCTGCAGAAAGCCGCAGTAAAAGGCATCACCCAGGTGGTCTTCTCCCGGATCACCATGGCGGCACCAGGAATGAGTACGCAAAGACGTCTCCTCTTAAAATGCTATAAATATTGTATTTAGTTCTTCAAGTTAACCCTTTCTTCTTCTTTGCTCTCAGTCATCCTCCCCATCATCATGCAAAGGATGGAAAAATATAAGTTCATGCAGGTTAGACCTTTTTATTTATATCTATTTGGATATACAGTAATACATATATTTGACTTTGACTATATTGACCTAACCCTAACCTTCATACGGCTAAAGTGGGCATCAGTCCTCATTTTTGTAGGTCTGTCATTTGTTATTTTAGTGAAAAAACCAACTATCACACGCATAAAAACAGTACATTAATATACAGTAATCCAAGACAAAGAGCTGCTTTACATAGTGATTATTGACATCACATATTCGAAAAATAATCTAAGAATTACTGTAGCAAAGAGTATATTTGTGGCCTAGTCTCTACATTATTATTGAAGGTTTGATCAAACCTCTGTCTGTCTTTTCACAGAGAATCACGTATCTCCACGGACCAATTCAAGTGATGTTGGTGGGGGCGTTGTAAGTAGAGAGGGGTTCAGCGTCACGGAAGTTTGATGCATTTCCACAACTTGGATAATAATCTATTGTTTCCGTCGTTCTAAATACTACATTTTTTTCACTCTTTCATCTACAGTTTGGTCTTCATGGTGCCTGCCGCCTGCTCGCTGTTCCCTCAAAGATGGTAAAAAAAAACATTTCCTCTCACCTGCTGAGTGACTGTAGCTTAAAGACGGTGTTGATTGAGGACTGAGCTCCTTAAATGTTCTCAGACTCACATAAACTGTTTTTGAAAGATGTAGAAATTGATGAAGCAGGACCAGAGATAAATTCCTTTTTTATATTCCACTAATCCTTCCTTGTCAAAACTTGGTCCTAAAATACCCACATTGCAACTTGACCACTGACGCCTTTTCTAAATATGTACTGACACATGAAGTGCATATTTGGAAAATGAGATATTGGGGTGAAAGAATTTGGTGGGCAAATCTAAATTAGGAAATATAATGAAGGGTTGTAGAAAACCTAATTGCAGATAAGTAATACTTATCCATCCATCCATCTATGTAACAGCAGCAGTAAATAAAAACAAGACGACAAATATAAAGTATGCCCTTTAAACACATTGTAATCATGAACCAGCATCAGCTTGTTTAATCAAACATCATGTTTCTCTTCTTTTTCTTTCTCCTTTGGCCCCTGCTTTCCTAAAATCTCCGTCTATCTGTCTCTCTCAGTTCTATGGCCGTGTCGAAGCTGGAGCCCGAGCTGAGAGACTCCATTGTGTCTCAATACGGACAAGCTGTTAAACATGTGTACTTCAACAAAGGCCTCTGAGGCTTAGATTAGCATCATCTACTCACTACAAATGAATGATTACACATGTGTTTATGAATTCATTTCACAATTATTAGTAAAAATGAAGTGCTAATTTCCATAAATCATCACATTGGTGCTTATTGGTGGGATGTTTATGAACAACCATGCCACTTTTTAAACAGTTTCTTTATCTTTTTTTCAAATGATTTCTTACAATAGACAGATGCTAGGGGCACTGTGTACTCCTGTTGAGAAACCAAATTATTTCCTCTCAGTCACATTAGAACTGTTAGTTTGTCCTTCATGTCTCATCTGTAGTTGTTTGCGTCTTGTCGCTCAACGTTTCTTACAATCTGTGCCTTCTTCAAAGCGGCAGGAGCAACAACACTGCTGGATTTATTGTCTTTAAATCAAATTGTGCTGTACTATGAAACCACAGAAATACTTCTATGCATTGATTAAGACTCTGAAAATAGGTTTTGTGTGATAAAAGGGGAGGACACTGCCATCTTCTGACAGAATGGAGGTAGAGGCGTGACATGTTTGCAGGATTAAAATGGTTTACCAGTCAGACATGTCGCTTTGTGCCACGATCCTCAGAACAAAATGTAATAAAACCACACAATAATTTGAAATACAGCGTTCTGTGTGTTTTTATGTCGGCTCAACAAAACCCTGACAATATGGTGTAAGGATTTTGTGAGGTATGTTGATACTCATTATAAATTAAATGACACTTCTTGCAATAGGTATCTGTTGGAGCTATATATCTCTTTATATTATTTAATAGTTTAACATTTATGTTCTTGCTGTTTATAGTGTTTATTATTATTATCATTTATTTATATGTATTCTTAGTGTCATAAGTTAAAGTAGTTTCTATGCTTTTATTTTGATGGCATGTTTTGGGCACTGGGTGATTAGAGCACCTGGTGTAATTGTATATATTGGAGACAGGTGGGTGGTGGGAGCCAGAGCACTAGTAGGCAAACGGTTTTTTACCAGGGTATTTTCGAGCCACAGGGTTTTCCAACCACAAGAAAGGAAAGCAGGGTGTTTCAAGCCACAAGGAAGGAAGCCATAGGAAAGGCTTAAAGGAACCAACCATAGGAAACCTGTTCATTGTCAATGATATTGGATCATAATAAATGCACAACGGAGAATCTTGTCTGGACCTGGATCATTGCCCTGCGTAAGATCTGCTAACTAGCCTGGCGTAAGATGCTGCTACTGTGCTGTATTATTTTAAGTTCATTATCTGTTTTATGTCTATATGATGTTGGCCGCTACAGTATCTAAATTAATTTGATTACAAATCTTTTAACGTAATCTGAAATCAAAATGTTATAGCATTGATGTCATGAAATTGTTTTTTAAATTGCCCCATTTTAATGATGAAATATAATAATCTTTCACAATGTAGATATCTACTTGACATGTTTTCCAATATAACCTAGGCTGATTATAGTTACTTACTTTTGGAATCTAAATATATCCTGTAATCTGTGACTACCCAAACCTGCTGATGTATATTATTATATATAATCGCATTTTGTTCTGATTATTTACAAATGTAAGAAGTTTAAGGGGAACATCTTTCTTTGTGTAGAAAACACACAGTATTAGAAGTGTAGAATTAAAACATTCTAGAGTAGAAGAAAACATTAGCATCAAGTACCGACAAATTGTCAATAAACCTTCTAGATAATAAGGAAACTCATCTGACTGCAGTGACAGATTTGTGCCACACTTTTCTATCAATTGTATTCCTGTTTATATGCAAACATTGTTTATTACATTTTCTGACTTAAATGTTATTACTTAAATATTGGGAATACGGCCAGTCAAATATGGAAACTGAAGTATATTTTGTGATAAATTAAATATTAGTTTTTTTAAAGCAGCAGCTCCAGTTGTTCCAGCTGAACGACACAGCGCTCCCTGCCGGTTCGGCCGGTACTGCTGCGGGGAGGAGCCGGGTGCTTTATAAAACCGCCTTGACCCTAGAAAAGAAAACACTCCCTGAAAGACAGACAGCTGCAGTGCAGACACCAGCCAATACCCATCCCGTCACACCGGAGCACACAGCGAAACCTCACCGTCACACCGGAGCTGAGCACGCACACCGCCCGGGGCTGTTTACCAGGTTTCTGTCGGTAAACAACACACAGCGGAGGGGGGGGGGGACTGCCACTTGAGCTACACTGCAACGCATCTGCGTAGCACCAGAGAGGCTGAAGAAACGTCGCATCACCGTTTATGAAAATGCCGTTTAACGTTAATGGCATCCTTTGCACGCTCGCGCTGCTGTTGCTTTGGCGGGCGGAGGAGCTCGCGGAAGCGTGCAGCTGTGCCCCGGTCCATCCGCAACAGGCGTTCTGCAACGCCGACGTAGGTGAGTACAGCACCAGGGACTGTTGTGGTCTGTTTGTTGTTGTTTACCTATGTTGCACCAGCCTCCTGCGCAGATACCGGGAGCTGCCTGCAGCCGCTCAGTCCGGCTCCGGTTCCCGCTGAACGGGCTCAGTGAAGCTGATGGAAACCTCTGGAAAGCCTTAAGGTGGAGGTTCCTCTTCAAGGCCACTGCCAGACTGCACGCACGAAGATCCCATTGTCATGTTTTGTCTGGTGGTCATGTTGACAACAATACACCTTTTACAATACAAAAGTAGCCATTTGGGAAACACAGAAGGAGAACGAGTATGTTGTTTAGGTGTCATGGATGCATAGGGGTTCAACAAACATAAATGCAACATTTTCAAGTCTCCAAAAATGGATTAAAACATCACAGCAAGGAGTTTAAAATGACCTGCAAGTATTATAATTACTTTTATGGTAATACTACACATTTCAATTACCAAAGTAGCCATTTGGGAAACACAGTAATACAAAATGTATGTTGTTGAGGTGTCATGGAGGTATGATATGAAGGGACCAAAACACATGATGACATGCACTTTAAAAAAAAAAAAAAATGAATTAAAACATCACTATAAGGAGTTTAAAATCACCTGTAAGAATTATAATTACCTTTTCATGGTAATGTGTCTTCTGATTTTAATGTAATATCTCAATTCATTGCTCCAAATCCAACAATAAGAGGACCTTACTGTTTTATCGCGGGGTGGAAGAGGCAGAGCACTATGTTTGTGTACGTCAGTGCAACACAGGCTGGGCCCATCACTGTACATAATGTCTCAGGTCTGCAGCGGAGGGTGGCGTCACCCCTCAACTGCTGTGGGACAGAGCAGCGTCGCCTGGCTTTTGCAGGGCAACGTGGCACAAGAGAGGAAATAAAGAGAAAAGGATGGGAAAAGCAGAGAGGAGGACAAGGGATGGAGAATGTGAAGAGAAATGTTTTTATGGGTGGAGGGGTTTAAATCTAAACCACAGAAATATGTCACACCGCGAGCTTTCCCAAATTTCCATTCCTGCCCTGGTTCTTCCTGCGAGGGGTGGTGCTGGGAGGAATTACAAGAATGCTGCTGGGGTTTTCCCAACTTTTGCTCCGGTGTAATGCAGGGACACACACTCGTTCACACAACTACGGGCCCAGCACTATGCACTGTAGACGCTCACTCACACACACACACATACTCTGGCTACAAATGACATCTGGCTGTCAGTTTAGGGTGTGTTTTAAGAGGAAACGCAATAAAAGTCACAGTCCAAGTGAAAATATGTATGGTATCTTTGAGAATGAGAAACTCCTAAACCACACTACTTTGGTTCCATCTTTGATTCCTTCTCTCGAATCCTTATTCACACACATGCACCGGTGTGTGTTTGTGAATGGGATGTGTATCCCAGTAATTTCTTATTGCAATCTGACATCTCTTTTTTCAGGTGTGACTCAGTCGCTGGAAGTCTAAGAGAGGTGTATTTGTGTCTAGTTGCTCATGTTGTTTTTAAAGGTGGTGTGAGTCAGTTTTGTCAGCAGGGATGATGTACTTTAAAGGCACATGGGTAACTGTCATTGTCCAGCGATGGTTCCAGGGTGGATTTGAGGTTGATACTGGTTTTGGGGGATCTTAGAAGCAGAAATGTTTTTTTGCAGGCTTGCCAAGAGCAAAGAATCATAATAGAGTTGGTTGTCTGGTTGCCCAGAATGTGTAGGTGGTGACTTTGTTACCAGTTGGTGTGGTCTGACAATTTGGTGTTTGTTTTGGTGAAATTGGATCCCACTTGTTTTGAGTTCACACACATACTGTACATGCAGGGGCTGGCAGCATGAGTGTGTGTCACCTTCTGTTTTTCATGCTAAATGATGCAGTAGCTTAAAACCACAAGCCATTAAAATTGTCACCTACCACACAATCACACACACTCACTAACTGCAGAGACAAACATCCTCTTTTCATTTAACTCTGTTACCCACAAAGGGGAACTTCCCCAGCAGCCCAGCCCTGCAATGTCCAGACGCTGGGCGTTGTGGAAGAGCAGAATCAACTGACTGTGGACATGCAACAACACACTGACTCATTTATAGAAATGGAAAATGAAGGCTGCAAAAATTGACATTTCAGCTCATTGTTTTGGTTTTCTTCCCCACATTTTAATTCAGTTATACAGCTCTCAATTAGCATTGTCTCCAGTAGCAGCAGGCAGCTGATGTCAGTGAAAATGCAACAAACACTGCACACCACATGATCAGCACTAAACAGCAGACAGACACAGTTAGCGACTAGCTGGTGAACATATTGGAGCATTTAGCAGCTTAAGAGAAAGACATGTCCCACAGGAGTTTGTAGAGACCAAAAACAGAGCTAAAAGAGTATTGGACTTTTACCTGAACACAACTACAAATCAAAGTTAATGTTTCAATTAAAACACTAATCAAAGTTTATTACACTGGAAGGAAGGAAGAACAAAAGTCGATAATTATTTCTTGCTAATCTGACTCTCATATCACCTTGGTACATTATTTATTTATCTGCAAGTTATGTTCTAGGTTAAACTGGTGCAAACAATAGTAACATTAGTGGAAAACATCCATCCCAGCTTCTCAAATTCCAAGGTGATGTCATATGATGTCTTATATTGGCAGTCCCAAACCTAAGAAAACCTTTTTTGACCATTTTAATATTGAATAGATATTCAAAATATTTGCAGATTATTTGTGTGTCTACTAATCTGGTTAGTCGACTAATAGCATCTTTGATAATGAAATACTCCAAAAGGAATCAGGAGTTTTTGTCTTTGCTGCACAGGTCTTCACCCAGATGTGTTCGGAGGTCATGAGGACGGTTGAACTGCGTTTATGGGCAGTTTGTCTCTGGTTAAATGACAGATTTAACAGAAGGCCCACGTCCGTCTGGAGCTGGACAAACCACATCAGCGGTGGGATTGAATGGGGGGGCACTTAGGATGTGGGGTTTTTATACGAGGTATGCATGGAAAACATTGCGTAGTGCGACGGAAACGCATGTATAAGTCATTAAACATTGCCCTGGTTGGGGGAGTGGGGGAAATGTGGGTCACTTGGTGGTTTATGGAGGGGGTCCTATAGCTGGTGATTGACTGCTGGTGATTGGATGACTTTAGGATCAATCTGTGGTGGGGCTGGGTCTCCTGCAGGCTTCCCGGTACTCGTGCTGTTTTAGCTTCACGCTGTGTAGTCTGCCGCCTCCGCCAC